CTCATATAATTCAAGACATATTTATTTATTTTCATTTTTATTTTATTTGTTGTAGTGTGCTTGCATTCTTTGTGTAATATGTTTGATCCCTCAAAGTATTATATCAATTTTAAATCAAATGATAATTTTTTTGGTAAAAAACCGAAACCGAATCGAAACAAACCGAACCAATCAAACCGTGGTTCCAAGTTTTGGAATGTAAAACCGAATCGAAACCGAACCGAATTTTTTACTTTGATTCTATATTTGGTTTTAGGTCAAAACCGAACCGCAAGAACCAAACCCACCACTACTTTAAAGCGGTTCATAAACATTTCTAAAGTCTGTATAGATTTCGGTGTGGGATATATCAACGGCCACACAATCCTTTCCGTACTCCACAAATGACGTGCAGTAAAAATAAATCAAGCAAATTAAGTAATGAGTACATATAGCAGTTTTCAATCGCGCGGGCCCACAATTTCGTAGATAGTTGATCAACAACATAATCACCAAGGGTATGTTTGAAAAAAAACTAAAAAAATGATTTTCACTTTTTAGTTTAAAAAGGTGTTTATAAGTGACAACGTCTACTTAAGTTAAGAAAAATTCTAAAGGTACACGCTTTTTTTGTGTACGTACACACTCTTACACATGTCTTTGTAGGCATTCTTTTTTGTATGTACAGACAAACCGTATTTTGACAAATATGTTTTGTCTGTACAGAAAAAAAGCCTACACAGACATTTGTAAAAATGTGTACACAAAAAAGTGTGTACCCCAATTGACAACGTCTACTTAAATTAAACATTTTAAAGCTAAAAGTTAGAAACTGCTTTTTACTTTTTCTATTACACAAAAAACACATATTTTATCAAACATTACCAACTTTAACTTTTCAAAATCATTCTTTTAACAAACACTACCAATTTTATTATCAATCACTTTTTCGAAAATCACTTTAAAAAGTGATTATTTAAAAGCAAAAGCATTTGAAAGCACACATTATAGCCACACAAACAACTAGTTTTGAAATGGTTATGGTGACAGGGAAATAAGTTTGGATTACTTATTTAATTGAATAGACCGGAATTTTCTTTACAAAGAAATCTTATATTATAGTGACTAACATCACTCATACTCCTCTCCATTTCCTTCTCTCAAATTATTCTCTTCATTTCTTTTCACTCTAGCTCTCTCCTTAAAAATAATAATTAAACATAATCTTTTCCTTTTACCTACCCCACCATTTCCCCACCTCTCTCTATCTCTCTGTTACTGGAAATTTCCAGTTAATTAATGGAGAAGAGCAAAATTCGACTAACATTGGCACACATGGCTTCATACCCAATGAAAACATACAACTGAAGGAAATGGGATAGATAATAATCAAAATAATCAGAAAAAATGGAATATGGAAACTAATAATCCAACCTTTTAGCGGTCTTCTTACAATAATCTCATCTTTTCGTTATTCATTAATAATCCAACCTTTGCACATCATCTTCATTCATTAGTCCCTGACCGGTTGATGACCTGTTATTCCAAGTTATTTTCTAATCTTTTCAAAGTATTATCTTTGTGAAAGGTGAGATTTAACGTATAATGGTTTGCAGAGATAAGAAAATAACTTGGAATAGCAGGTTATCAACCGGTCAGGAACCAGTGAATGAAGATGAGGTGCAAATGTTGGATTATATTCATGAATAACGATAAAGACAGACTATTGTAAGAAGACCACTAAGAGTTTAGCAATGTACTACGTACATTACAAACATTGGCGGGAGAAAGTAAGTAAGTAACAATGAGCGGCCCAAGGCCGAGGACCTCAACCTAGCAAGGAAAAACATATCTAGATAGCAATTGCCATACGATCAAATGGAAAGCCCCGGAAGCTCACCATCAGTTTAGATGCACCTGTATTTGGGATCTTTTGCACTGTCATGTAACCATGCATACAGTGCCGTCTTTAAGAATTTTGTGTCCTCGACGAAAATTAAAATTAGACTATTATATTAGTGAGTAACATTAATATTTATACAAGGGAAATTTACTCGGATATGACTAAAACTCATTGAGTTTCGCTAAATATGACCAACTACGTTTTTCGACTTTTCTATGACCGAAAATCCACAAAAAAAGATAATTTCGTTTATATTTAAATGTTAAATGACAAGAATACCCTTATTTAAAATATGTGCATTATACACTAATTTAGTCCAATTAAAATTACTGCATTTTATATTGCCGTTAATGCACGACATTACTGCACATGAAATAATAATCACTGCACTTCCGCCAAAATTAAATCTCTTCTCATTCATTTTAGCAATTTGTTTTACGTAATATTTATTTTTTAGATTTAATAACTTTATTATTTTATCTCTAATTATTGCTATATGTTACTGCATTACGGGTGATAAGCACAATAGTTACCTATATTTTATATAGGTGATTATGATTATTTGTACAAATATTCAAAGACAAAGCAGGTATAAATCTCATTTTGAGCAAAAACCGCACAAGTGCGTCAAAGATGAAGAAACGGGAGTCAACAATCAAAAGGGGCCGAGAACCGACCCTTCGGGTCAACTACGGGCGTATAACGGAGCGAAAAATGAAGTATTGTAGTGCAGGGGAAAACCGGCACCGGTCATGCTTTAAATCCGGCGCTGGTTTCATTTAAATAAGCCTTACTACGGTTCGCCGAGAGTCAACCGGCGCCGGTCCACCCCTATAACCGGCGCCGGTTATGCCATTTTTCAAAAGGATTCCAGCTGCGAAGTAAAACCGGCGTCGGTCAGTTCGAAAACCGACGCCGGTTAAGCCCGATTCTGCACAAAACATGAAGACGTGCAGCAATATTTTGATGGGAAAAACTCACCTTCCTCATGATCTGATCAAATATATCTTCCATGCCTGATTGTTGGGCTCGAATAGACTAAAAGATGCCAATCTTTAGCCTATATAAAGCCCCCAATTCATCAAACAAGATCATCATTCCATTCTTGAAGATTAAATTTCAGTTTTTATATTTCCTTTTTGCATTTTCTTGAAGTGTTGGAGAAGAAGCCATTTATCTCCTCTACAATTGGTTCTAGGTATTATATTATTGTATTTCATTGTTCTTAGTTACACTTTTGTAATTAGTATGAGCTCAAGGAGCTAAGTCCTTAGCTAAGGCTAGGGATGAACTTCTATGCTCACTAGGTGTTTGATAAAAGTTCCAAACCAATAAATTGTGATTTATCCTTTACATTTTGATTGTTTATGACTATAGTGTACAACATAGAAGTATGTTAAACTTAGTTTATGCTTGCAATTAACGTTGAAGTCTAAACTATGAACATTAAAGGACAAACATATATATTACCGAGAATAGAAATATATCCGGTACTATATGATACGGGTGTGATGTCTTGCTATTCAACGTGATTTTCGGTAGATGAATGTAAGCCGTAATGGGACTTACACGTAACGAAAATCATGCTCTCGCTGCCTTAACCGGAGTTGAGAATATATTAGCGACATCTTATTCATAATTATTGGTAAAGAACTAATATTCAACCCTATTAAATCATTTAAGTGATTCCCGAAGCCTTAGCCGTTGTTATCATTCATCTTAAATCCCAATTAATCAAGGTTACTTCCTTGAATTAAAAGTGAAAAGCCAAAAATATAAAACACAACTCAAAATCCTTGCACTTTACTCATTTCAATATTTAAAGTTATCTACTCTCGGACTTGAATTAAACAACGTTTCCCTGTGGATTCAACCTGGTATTTTACCGGAATTTTTATTACTATATCGTCACTTGTACACTTGCAAGTTCAAACCGGTCAACGGGTCATAATAACTGCACAACAAACTTCCTTAATGCATTTATTCACTGTCATGTACGGAGTACAACATATCTATTGTCATATCTATTTTCACTATTTATACTCAACATTTATTGTCATGTTGAATGCTAATGTCCAATGCTCATATTTAATACTCCCAAACATTAAATTCAACAAACTTTCTTCAAACCTCTTGTCTAACAAACAAAAAAACTGAATTCGAAACATAGCAACTCAATTCGGAATTGAAATAATGAATTATTGAACAAGAAAAATGATTCATTTAGGAACGGGAAAACTGTCAAATAGGTCCTCGAACTCTCATAAAAAAGTCGATTAAGTCCTATAGGAGACTCTGTTCGGGCGTCGCGATTTGGGGCATTTCCGGTGGAATTTTTTGATGAATTTTTTTGAGCATTTTATACATTTAGTCTAGTTTACTCATACCAAATTTCAGCTAAAAATGCCATTGGAAACACATTCAAATGAATTCGAGAACGCAAAAATACGCAGTTATCTTCAAGAATTAATTTGAATGTGTTCCCAATTAGATTTTTGTCTGAAATTTGGTATGAGTAAACTAGACTTGATGAATAAGATGCTCAAAAAATTTCATCAAAAAATTCCACAGGGAACCGCCCCAAATCGCGATGGCCGGACAGAGTCTCTTATAGAAGAACTTAATTGACTTTTTTTATGAAAGTTCGAGGACCTATTTGACAGTTTTCCCTTTAGGAACCAAAAATAAGATACTCCTTATAACATTGTGAAAAAGTAGCATTTCTAACCCTATTACCAAAAGCTGCTCCTAGCCTCCTAGTACCTACTAGCACGACCAGTGGAAGGAAGGAGCCTAAATCGGCCCATCTTGTAACACCCCAATTTTTATGAACTAGTTATGTTAATCATTATTATTTATTTTAGTCGGCTAAATAAGTTTCTTCTATGAATAATGTGATTTATTGTTTGATCATGTGTTGTCTTGGCAGGTAACGTTGACCGGTAAGCTCTAATAAATTTTTATAAAGAAGTAAATTATGTTCTAAATTTTAATCAGTCTATTTTTGAAAAGAAACATTTTTTTACCCGGGCTGAAGCAACTATTTTAGAGATAATATGAGGTCCAAATGAGTCATTTTAGACCAAATAAATCTCAATTACCCTAAACCCTTAGAGAAGCTACGCACGCATCCTTTCTTTCACAATAGTCGTACTCCTCTATGATTTTGTCCCATAAGAATTTCTCTTCTCCTTCAACTCTCCAATCAAAGCTATTTTCGAGTTTAGAGACAACTTGAACCCAGTAAGTCTATTTTACTTTGCTTTCATTCTTTCTTTAATTTGTTCTGTTTCTTTAATCACCCTAAAAGATTTTTTCTCATGAGCTAGGTCGCACCATGTCTAGCTTACGACTGAGTTTTGTTATTGATTTGGAAAAATCGCTGGCCTTGCTAATTGTTTCAGCGTATAAATCAAAGGCTCTAGTTTTTTTTTAAATAGTCCAACTCCTTCCCCTGCACTTAAAGCTCCATCCAGTGGTTCTTTTAATAAAAGAGTGAAAATTTCTATTTTATTAGTTCTTTTTAAGAGGCTGTTTTGTAAGTATCGAATTTGGGTGTTCTAGCAAAGCTTGTTCAACTATTTAGATAACTAACGGCCAGGTTTTCATGGTATCTTTAAAATGATTTGGAAAGCTCTAGTTCTAAGGATTTGAGTCACACACCGCACAAAATTGAGTGTAGTTTATATTGCGAGGTCCTATTCAAACCTGGTCTTACTAAGGAAAGCTCCATAATTGATTATTTTGGCAATGTTTCAAATTGAAGTTCATGTGAGCTAATCTCAAACTAAGATTTATATTTTAAGTTTTTCCATTTAGTTAGTAGCAGCAGTTTGTTTCATTAGAAGAGAGCTGATTTTATTTTATTCTATATTTTATTTTGAAGGGCTGATTTATATGTAGCAATTTTGGGTTATTTTAACATGAGCTTCTCCCCTTATTCAAATAATTACTTCCAGCAATTAGTGAGCTCCTGGAGAATGGTTTTCGAAAATCTAAAGTTTTGTTTTAAAGTTTTTTTTTTTAAATCCCGAAAGACTACTTTTTGGGCAGGGTAAGCATCGGGGAGTGCTTACCTAGTTTATTAAAAGAGTTCAAGGATTTACAGAACCCAAAGATTTGAAAGGAAAATCTAAGGGCCTAAAAGTGGAAAATATTGGAGCCTACGAAATCGGGTCTAACAGAGCAAAACCATAAGCTGACAAATAGGGGAATATATTCCCTGTCTCCAAACATAATAATCCAAAATTCCAAAAGAGAGTGGGTCGCCCTATTTTCGGACCTTCGTTCGAGTATAGAGAAGATGGAGGGGCGTTCGGTTTAGTGGAAGTGATGATGATTTCAAATGTAGAGATGTTTGCTAGATGATGATTCGGAGATGTTGTTGGATACAGAGATTTTGAGATGTCGTCGATTAGCCCGAGTCCCTGAATCTGCGTGGATGTTGGAATTCGTCGAGGTAAACTTGTTGTATATTTGATGGTAGATTGTGTTGTGTGTAGTGATTTAATGTTTTATTTGAGTACCCATCCCTTGCTAGGAGTAGAGCTGTTCGAGTGCCTGGTCCATTTGTTGGTCACATCTTGAAGTTGTGTTTGGAGCACAGATCTTGCATGCCCCGTAAATCAGATAGAGATTTCTCAGGTATGTTTCGGTCTAGGGTTTGTGTGGGAAAAGAGTTGTGTTCCATTGTAATTTCAATCCCAGAATATCCCCTATTGATGAAGAATGTTGTTGCTTGCAGGACTGCCTGGGTCTGTGCATTAGCGTATGATGTTGCTGTGGTGGTGAAAGAGATTGCTTCCACGAAGTTGCCTGTGTGGGTGAGGATCGCACCACCGGAGCTCTGGCCTGCGTTGTAGTAGCCTTGAATGCACAGACTGAGAGTAGGTAAGTGATTGTGAGTGAAAAAGACTGTTTTGTTGTTGCCTGAGTGATGTATGTCTGGCATTAGGTCATGTTTGTTTAGCAATGTGTTGTATTGCATGTAACCCTTATCTGAGTTGGAGATGCACCATTCTTGAGTTGCCTTTTTTATTGTTCCAATTGCCTGTGAGATTGAGTGTGGCTTTTCGTCCCAAATTAAGTGGTTGTAGTTCTTCCATACTGTCCACATGATGAATCCCGGGACTAGATGTCTGATTAGTCCTGTGATGTTATTTTTTTCCCCAGCCACCAATTGATTAGTGTGCTATGTAGGTCTGAATTTCCCCGTGTGTGTACCTGCAAAATGTTAGCAAAAAATTCCCAAATGGGTTTGATCTGTGGACATAGGAAAAACAATGATTTTGTGATTCCTCTGCCGGCTTTGCAGAATGGGCAGCGTGAAACAATGTTAATTTTGAATCTTGAGAGATTTTCAGGGAACGGTAGAGCTTGAGTGTTGTATTTCCACAGAAAAATTTTCAACTTAAACTGGTGTTTGGATTCCCATATCTGTGTGTTGCTATATGTTTTGGGGTGGGGGCTTCTGATGGTGTGGTATGCACTGGAGACTGTGAAAATACCATCAGGTGAGGGAAGCCAACTTAGATGGCCATCCTTATCCTGAGTTAGGTCACTGGCTAGTTGATTTGTTTTGCACAGCTGTTTCCAAGTTGGTGAGTGGTTGGGTTTAGGTATCATGTTGTCCGGGTATCTTGTATGCATGTAGTTTGCCCAAAGAGAGGAATTTTTTTGTAGTCCCACCATGTTTTGAGGTGCAATGTCCCTTGAATATCTGCGATTGATCTGATATTCAATCCCTCTTCTTCTCCCGGCCTGCAAATTTTGTCCCATGTGTTCTAGTGGTACCTGTTCTTTTCCCCATTTTCCCCCAAAAGAAATTTGCCATAAGTCGGTTCAGGGTTGTAAGTATGGATTTGGGTATGGTGGAAACTGCTATGTGATGAAGTGGTATGGCTGATAGCGTGTGTTTGATCAGAATAAGCCTTCCACTTTGATTTAATTTTTTTTGTTTCCATGTGTTGAGGTTGGATTCAAACCTCTGGATGATCTTCAAGCAATGTTGAGGTCTAGTTGTACCCTGATGCAGAGTAGCTCCAAGGTAAGTGACAGGCAGCGTGGTCGTGGACATTTTAGTGAGTTTCTCCATTGCCTTTTTTCTGTAAGGCCTTAATTTTTTACTGACAATAACCTTGCTTTTGGCTAGGTTTGCAGACTGTCCTGTCTCCTTAGAGTATTGCTTGAGGAGCTTGAGGAATCTCTTTAGGGAAGATGATGACCCATTCTGGAAGATCAAAACGTCATCCGCGAAAGCGAGTTGATGAGTTTTAGTTTGCCCCCTCCCGATTTGAAAAGATTGAATTTGGTTTGTGTAAACTAGGCTGTGTAAACCCCTTGTAAAAGCTTCACTGATTATGAGGAAAAGGTAGGGTGACAGGGGGTCGCCTTGTTTGACCCCCCTGTGTGGCTGAAAAAAGCCATGTGGCTGCCCATTGATTAGGACCGAGATGTGGGTGGCTCTCAGGTTTGAGAGGATGAGAGTTGTGGCCTTCTGACCAAGTCCGATTCTGAGTAGAGCCCCCTCTAAAAACTCCCACGAGACCCTGTCAAAAGCTTGAGCAACGTCTAGCTTAATTGCAATATTTCCTCCCCTTACCTTTTGGTCGAGGTGGTGGAGGAGTTCCTTTGCTAAAAGAATATGGTGGTGAATATTTTCACCTTCCATAAACCCGATCTGCTCCTTGGAGATAATTTTTTTGGGAGCAACGGTTTTAGCCTATACGCTAATATTTTTGAGCACACCTTAGAAATGAAATTAGCTAGGCTTATCGGTCTGTAGTGTTGCATCCTGGACGGTGACTCGTTTTTGGGAATTAGTACTAGCAGTGTGGTGGTAAGGGCAGCAGGCATTGTGACACCCAGAAAAAACTCCTGAACTGCTGAGGTAACGTCCGTGCGGATTGTTTCCCAGCATGTCCTGAAAAATTTGCCATTGAACCCGTCCGGACCAGGGCTGCTGTTAGGGTTTAAGGACCAAATAGCTTGTTTGATTTCGTTTTGTGGGGGAGTGCGTGTGAGTTCATCTCTTTCCGTTTGTTGAATAGGCTGGGGTAGGAGGCTTAGGAAGTGTTCCTTGTGTCTCTGATCGATCTGTTCCTCGGAGTAGAGAGCCTTAAAGTGGCTGATTGCAGTAGCCGCAATAGAGGACTGATCACAGATGGTGTTCCCCTGTTCGTCTTCCACTGATAGGATCATTTGATGTTTACGTTTTGCTTTTACAAAATCGTGAAAGAATTTTGTGTTGGCCTCCCCTTCTTTGAGCCATCTAATGTGGGCTCTTTGCTTCCAGAACTCTTCCTCTTGCTTCAGAGTTAGAAGTAAAGAAGCCTGAGATTTGGACCATTCTTGCCTGTTTTCTGTCAATGGGTTGGACTCAAATTCCAATTCGGCCCATTGGTCCTTTTCTTCTTCCTGTTGGACTCTTGAAAAAATATTTCCAAATGTCATCGCATTCCAGGCTTTGAGAGTTTCCTTGGTTTTCTTTAGTTTTTGGTATAACGGTCTCATACCTCCAATTCCGTCTGTAGGTGTACTTTTCCAGCTCAGTGAGACTGTGTCCATGAATGATTTGTGCTTTGTCCACATGTTTTGGAATTTGAAGCTCTTGGGGCCCGGGGTACATGGGGGTGTGCAGGAAAGGATGAGGGGAGTGTGGTCGGAGCTAGCTTCTACTGCTGAGTATTTCAATAATGATAGGAAAATGATTGCTGAATTAGTCATTGCACAGGAACCTGTCCAGCCTGCGCCATACCCTACCATTTTTTCTCATACCTGACCAGGTAAATTTGCTACCAGTAAATGGTATTGGGTTCAGTTTGCAATAGGTTAGGCATGCAGTAAAATCCAAGAAATCTGACGACCTGGCCATATTTTTACCTTTGTGTTCGTTCAGTGAGGTAATTGCGTTAAAGTCGCCCCCGATCAGCCAGGGTAGGGTGGTGGTGTCCTTCCATCGCCGGAGTTCAGCCCAAAGTGGTTGTCTGTCTGATATGGTGTGTTTTCCGTAGACTGTTGTAAACCCGAAAACAAATCCCGTCTTTAGGTCCTTTACTTTGGCGTGGATCAGTTGATCCAAGGGGATGAAGTCATTGACCTGAACAAAATTCTCATCCCATAGAAGCTAGATTTTGTTATCATCTTTAGTAAAAACCTGGGAGAAACCCAATTTGAGTTTGAATTGTTCTGCTTTGGTTGGTGAAACCATCGGTTCTGAGATAGCAACAATAGGGATGTTCCAGTGCCAGATTAGGTTTGTAGTCTCCGGCACGAGGAAGAGAGACCACACGTGTTCCAGTGTAAAATTATCATTGGGGGGTGGGATGAGACCCTCCGGTCTCTTTGAGTGTTTGGGAGCGGGTGAGGATTGGGTCACTGGGATGGATGGGTGGTTTTTTGGTTGTTTTTTGTTTTGTTCCTGATTTAATGGTGTTTGGTTGATCCTTGAACGGGGTTTGAGTATGTGTGAGGCTTAGGGTGGTGGAAATAGGTGGCCACTCCTCGGGAGAGGATGTGCTAGTGTCTGTAGCCCCCGGTTGGGAATGGGTTTTGACAGGAGGTTGTAGGATGGGGTTTTCAGTGCATTGTGCGAAGGTTTGTGTGTGGGGTGGTGTATGGGGTGGTGTCTGTGTTTCGATTGGTTGAGCTATAGGTGAGGTCTGACTTTTAGCAACTGTCTGGGGAATAGGGTGGATGGGTGTGGAAGGTGCTTGCTTAGTTGGTGGTTCTGATTCGGTGGCTTGTGTATGAGATGGTGTAAGGAGTTGGGTCTGTGTTATGATTGGTTGGGCTGTAGGTGTGGACTGACTTTGAGCGTGGTCTTTCTGCGGAATAGGGGGTATTGGTATGGAAGGTGCTTGCGCAGTTGGGGTTTCAGATTCGGTGGTTGGGCCTTCAGTAGGCTGCTGGGAGGAGGCGGTCGGTGTGTTTATAGGCTGAGAGGTGGAATTAGAGGGGAGTTCAGCTGGTTTCTGTGGTTGCACTTTGCGAGTCCAGGTTTTAGGGTGCCGAGGGGGCGGAGGGGGAGGTGGCGGGGGGGAGGGATAAAGATGAGGGACTTACCTTTTGAGAAGTTTGAGTGGCCGAACTGCTTACAAACGCCACAGTATTTCGGGATGTCCTCATAAGAGACTTCCTGTGAGAATCCCATAGCCCCGTTCTGAATCCAAATATGGTAAGTTAGATCTTTGGATAAGTCCAGTTCGACACAGACCTTTGCCCTCGAAGGTCTAGAAAGAGATGCAGTTGCAACATCAACTTTGAGAGGCTTCCCTATTAGATTGGCAATGGATAATAATGCCCTTTTATCATGGAGATGAACAGGAAGCCCTCTCAGTTCAATCCATGCTGGTATGATGGGTGCCTCTTGACCGGGAAAGAAGTAGGGGGTCCATTTTGATATTCGCATCTGGTGGCCTAGGATAGTCCATGTAGTTCTAAGCCAGCATTTCTGGAAATCAGCCTCCAAGTCGAATCTGATCAGTACGTGCTTTGGCGCAAGTAGGCCGAGATTGAAAGGTCCTTGGAATCCTATTTTCTCGAAGGTCCTTCTGATGGTGGCCAGGTTAGGCCTTCCCTGATGGAAAGTACCAATGAGTGCGTGGCTGAGATTGCTGGATAGGGAGGATACCTCATCTGGCGTGAATGAAACTGATGCCGCCCCTCGGTATTTGGCTGGTTGTTTGAGGCTAATGACAGGTTCTGCATTCTTGATGAGCACATCTGCAAAGCTTCGTTGAGTTGCTGCTGTGCAGTTTGCCAGAGCTGCCATTGGGGAAAGGGGAAGGGGTGGGGGTGGGTAGAGAGAAGGGGGAGCTTCTCACACTCCCAGTTCTCAAAATTTTCAGTTTTGTTTTAAAGTTAACTGGGATTTTAACAGTTGGAATTGAAATGTAAAGTTTTTAGCGGTTTGGCTGTTTGGCTCTAAATTTTGACTATTCGAAATAAAGATTTAAGTGAAGAGCTTACCGGAAGACGTTATCAAAGTGTCACACTTATTTAAGTAATTGGGGATCATCCATTAACAGGTAAGTTCACTACCTGTACATGTTTGTTCAACCAAATAAAAGAAAGAAGTCTGGTTGATTTTTAATAGATGATTTTAGTCTATGTGCTATTATGTGACTTGGTGAATTAATTGCTGGATTATTTTATTTGCTGTATTAAGTTATCTTTATTATCTGGCATCGTCAAAATTTTGTAAGTACTTTTGTTTTCAGACTTAATGATGTTTTTAATCAAACGTCACCATAAAAAGAACTAATATTTAAAGTGAAAGATCATGTGATATGTACTCAGGAACAAGTTCCCTCAGATTATCAGTTTCAGCTTCAGAGAGTCCGATATGTTTATTGGGTCGCTCCCCTGAGCTGTCGGATTGGCGCCTTTGAGTACATATCACGGGCCCACAGTTAAAATTAGCCACAAAGAGTTTATAGAAAGTTTATGAGATCTCTTTCAGAAAGTTTTACAGAAAGTTGTTTTGAGATCTCTTTCAGAAAGTTTTACAGAGATGTTTGAGAAAGAAATTTTGAGATCTCTCCAGTAGTTTTTGAGAAATTATTTTAGAAAATACTTTCCTTTTGAGATCTCTCTCAGATAATGTTTGAGAAGTTATGTGTTAGTTATTTGTTCAGTGCATGCTTATAGCCTAAATTTATCTATTGATAAATTGTTCTAGACTTCTAGATATTTTGTGGAGCCATAGTGACTTACTAAGCGTAAAGTTTATCAGTTTTTCTTCTTCGCATGTACAGATACTAAGGATAAGGCCAAGGCCTGAGACGATGATGATGGAGTGGAACGCGTGCCAAGATGAGTTAACGGGAACGACCTTGGCGGCTTTTAGCTAGGTATTATTTTGTTTTCAGTATTTCAGTGTTATAATAAAGTGATTAATGTTACTTTATTTTTATTTGAGGATTTGAAGTTCGGTAAATTCCTGGATCCAGGTGGTTATCACATTTGCTGGTGATAACTATATTTTATTAAATTTTTATTTGGAGTTGTTTTAGTTACTTTTGAGATTTTATCAGGGTAATTTTCTTAAATAGACGGCCGTTATACTGCAGTTTATTTTTTAAAAGTAGTAGATTAGTGTAACGTTTTCTTTAACCCTGAGAGGGGCGTTACACATCCTCTATTTTAAAATAAGCTTTAGATTTTTTTCTTCCTTAACGTACGATTCTAAAATTGAAGATTGATAGATTGCTTTAAAGTGGGATGACGATGAGGATGGCGCACGTCGAAGACGCAGAGGAAGCTTGTTTGCCAGATCTGGACGACGGCGCTTAGATCTGTACGGCTCGTTTGCCATGCCGAAGACGTATAAGCCCTGGGATGGCGACTTTGCTTCCAGACCGGATGTCTATGGATGGAGATTGTACGGCGGGCGGTGGCTGGACGACGGGCAGTAGATCAACTTCGAACGACGCCTTCGCAGTCTAGTCGGGTGAACACCTGCCCCAGGGCAGATTTCTGGGTCGGCGAGTGTGTTCCAAGGCCGGAGCTTTTGGAAGGAGGCGGCGCTGGACGGCGGCTGAACGGCGAAGCGGCTGGACGTTGGGGTGGCTGCTCTCGTACATGTGGTTGGAGGTTGAAGCTAGGGTTGTTGAAAATGGGTAGGAGGTTGGGGTTTTATAGATACAAACTAAAGGGTATATTTGTCCACCTAAATTAATTATTAATTATTAATTACGAATTTTAATTAAATATAATAATTTTTGGTATTATTTAGGTAAAAAAAAAACTAGTTAGGTCATAGATTGAGAAAGTAAAGAAGTTTTAGTCATACCTAGGATAATTATCTCTTTATACAAAGCAAATTATATTTGGAGTATTGGCTAAAGAGAATAAACACACTGGTACAGCCGTACAGCTAAATACACGAATTAAAGGATCAATAATTAAAAATTAAATACTGTAATAAAATTCTGAAACATATCTAATTATCTATGTTGGTAGTACAAACTTAGAGAGATCTGTTTTTACATATCTACCCATCCATAGAACTTATCAAATAAGTATTGTATAGCTTGGTTAATTGGTTCGTTTAGCTTTGTCTAAAAAAATTAAACCGATCGTTTGCCTCTCATAGAGTAAAAACTACCCGTAGTATATTTTATAAAAAAAATAGCATAAAATCATAATTAATTACATTACAATCTATTTAGAGAAATTTACCTAAATAAGACTAAACCTTATGAAAATTGCAAAAATAGGACACCCAAGTTCCACCCAACTCGCGTAGGAGTAATTATGGACGAAAATGCCAAAAATGACCTCCCTAACCGACGCACACGTACGCTAACCTCATTGACGGTTATAACCGGCCCATTACGGCAATTCCCGGTTTCCAAGTTTCATCATTGCCGCCGAAAAGAAAAGATTCCAAACATTAAATGGCTATGTGTTGGGAGACTTACCATTGAGAGCTTGCGCGATAGAAGAGGCATTCAATCGACGTAACTTCATCTCAGTTCAAAACTCAATCTCTGAAAATTTCTACTTAGACGACAGTTGAAGTAGAATCGCGCACTTGAGCAAGTAGCTTCGTTGAGGACACTTGAAGGTCAAAGCAATGGAGGGCAAAGAGTTGAATCTATCAAATACAGTTGCCATCAAAATCAATTCCGAAATGGTATGTAATTACTTCTTATAGGAATGCCTAAAAATGCATATCGTTTAACGGTAACAGAGTTCAGAGTAAATTTGTAGAATGTAAATAGGTTGTAAATCAACGCGCAAAATCTTGTACGATGAATACTATGGCAATCAGAGTAAATTAAATGACATGTTTAGTAACATGTGATTACATCATCATGTTGTTATACAGTGGCATTGTAAGCATATATGAAGACTTTCTTGACATTCTGTGTGAAATAATTACGAATACGTAGGCATTTTATGTGGAAGTGACATTTTAGCATTATAGCATCACATTGAATGACAAATGGAGAACGGATGAAGTAATGACAGTTTAGTCAGTTTTTATGAGGTCATTTGGTGGCAATTTGTATGAAAGTGACATTACATGCATATGGTGTTTTATACTGGCATTGCAACCTTATATGAACACTATCATGACATTCTGCCTTAAGTAGTGACATTGTATGCATATCTGTAAGGTTGAAATCAAAATAACAGATATGGTGCACTAATGTGCCTTAAGTAGTGTCAAAATCACATTGAATGAAAAATTGAGAACTGGTGCACTAATGACAGTTTAGTCAGTTTTTATGAGGTCATTTGGTGGCAATTTGTATGAAAGTGACATTACATGCATATGGTGTTCTATATTGGCATTGCAACCTTATATGAACACTATCATGACATTCTGCCTTAAGTAGTGACATTGTATGCATATCTGTTAGGTTGAAATCAAAATAGCATCACATTGAATGAAAAATTGAGAACTGATGCACTAATGACAGTTTAGTCAGTTTTTATGAGGTCATTTGGTGACATTTTGTATGAAAGTGACATTACATGCATATGGTGTTCTATACTGGCATTGCAACCTTATATGCACACTATCATCACATTGAATGAAAAATTGAGAACTGATGCACTAATGACAGTTTAGTCAGTTTTTATGAGGTCATTTGGTGACATTTTGTATCAAAGTGACATTACATGGTGATTTCTATTAGTCATTTTGTACATGGTGATTAAAATGCCTATATTTGTGTAAACTTGACAGACAATAACAAGAGCATTTAAGAAATCAGTGTTGGTGATGGTGGAAGACTTACGTGTCAACTCCTACTGCAATGTTACTGAGGTTCTTAAGAAAATAAGGACATATCTAAGCCAAGAGGAATTGACAGAGTTCAGCAATACTGTCTTTGGTTGTATGTTAAGAATAGAAGACATGCCCTGGCTCAGTGGACAATTGCTTTTGGGATTAATTGGAAACTTTGTGACTGAAGTTAATGGAAACACAGACAACAGTGTCATCAGGTTTCACATTAAAGACAGTGTCATAAGTTTTCAGAAGCATGATCTGGCAATAATGTGTGCTTTAAAGTTTGGAGCCGTGAAGCCAAATATTTCAGAGGAGCTTCAGGGAGATATATGGACAAATTATTTAGGAGCCAAGACAAGTGTGACTCGTGCAGATATTCAGAATGCATTGAAGAGTTACAAGAGCACTGATGAGAGCAGACTGGCAAAGGATGGAGTGAAACTGGCATTGCTATACATACTGTCACATTGCTTGTTTGGCAATCAACCTGCTAGACCAATGAAGGCATACTACATAAATCTAGTTAATGATTTGGATGCATTCAATGGTTATCCATGGGGTGATGACGTTTGGGTGGATTTAGTTAACAAGGTGAAACAGAGTTGTGAGGCACTGGATAAAGGAAAAGGAGATAGAGTGACATTCCCTGGCTTCATGGTGGCATTCCAGTGGTGGGCATTTGAAACATTTCCTGGTTTAGCAAAAGCTGGTTTGTGCAAGGTAATGAAGGGGGTAGAAAACATCATGCCAAGGACTCTAAAGTGGGAATTTAAAAAGAAACCTACACTGGAGGTGCTTTGTGAAATTATATTCAAGAATGACAAGGTATTATACTGATTCATATGTATAATTTTAAATTTTATATGCACACATTGTTTACTAACATGGTCTATTTGTTTAGTTTGAATGGACGCAGATTGTACCAACTGCGGATGAGATTGCTATGATAGAGGAAGGAAATGAAATAAATGAGGAGGTGATGCACCTTGTCATCAACAATGTTAGCAGAGTTGATGCTGAAAAGCCAAAAACTATTGCAGGAAAAGGGAAAGAAAAGGTGATGCAGACCAGAGCAGGCAAAGGACAAACAACAAAAGCAAAGAAGGGCACTGGTAGAGCAATCAAATCTCAAGCAGGACCTTCTAAAAGAAGAAAGCAGACTGTGGTGGAGCAAGAGAGTGATGATGACTCGAGTGAGCAAGAGACTGATGAAGGTGAAGAAACTGAGAGTGATGATTCTAATGACAGTGGACGTGAAGGAGAGAAGTATGTAGTTTTCATGAGCAAAGACAGCAAGAGTATGAAAAAAAAAACATGAGAAAACAAGCAAAAGAGACTGCCAGATTAGTGGCAGAAATGAAAAAAATTAAGAAGACTCAGCAAAAGCAAGAGGCTCTTTTGAAAGATGTCATTCTGATGCTCAACAAAATGTCCAAGGGTGTTGAGAAGAGTGAGCCTACAATAGCAAGTGAAAAGGGTGATACGGATGAAGAAGAAAGTCGGCAAGAAGAAGAAAATGTTAATGAAAAAGAAGATGATGGATTTGCCATGACTGGGCAAGATTCTGAGAATGATGAGCAGCCTGAGATAAAGGATGATGATGTTGCTGATATGCCTGAGGAAACTGAGTGCATTAATGCAGAGATTGAGGATGGTGTTGTACAGCATGAGGGTGGCAATATAAAGAACAAGGATGGTGTTGTAGAGAATGAGGATGGTGGTATAGAGAAAGAGGATGCAAATGTTGAGAGTGACCATTTAGTAGTGAATAAGGATGCTGATGCAGAGGCTGAGGATTCTAAAGAAGAGATTGAGAATGCTGGTGGTTTTTCTACAGACAAAAATGAAAAAGAAATGCAAGAGAAGAAAAGTAAGGAGATACAGAAGAACACTGAAGAACAGGAACCTTGTGACATGCCTACTTTTAACATATTGACTCAGTCTCAAGGTAGTGAGAAAAAAAATGAAGACACTGTGCAAATGCAAAAGGAGGGGCTATCTGCACAAGAAGATAAAACTGACACTGCAGCATCTGGTTGGGGTGTGGGGTCACAGGACAATAGCCAATTTATCAAAGAGATGTGCAAGAGTGCAGATGAAGCGGCAAAAAAGGCTTTTGAGAGCTATTCTACTAATCCATGCAGAGCAATCATAGTAAAGACTGACTAGGTAAATACCAAAACTCAGTAAAATGACATTCAAGTGTCCTTTTCACATGTTAAAAATGACATCGAAGTGGCAATGCTTATGACCATATTGTAGTATCACATTGAATGTATATTACTTCCTTTTCAATAAACATATACATAATAAATAATATGTGCCAATGTCACAGGAGGATCTTCCCAAACAAACACGTGTTGTTAGGTCACCAGTGAAGCACATGGGAACTGAGCATGCATCAAAGAGGAGAGAAAAGGGAAAGAAAAGAGAAGATGATGAATTTCTGCCACCCATGAAGCAAATAATTGGACCTTTCTCTGAAGATCCAACAGACAGCCCACCAGTTGAAGAAATAGAGAGGGTGAAAGCGTACCTGCAAGTTGGATTGCTGAAGAACTTCCAAAAAAATAAAACCGGCAGAAGGTACAAAATAGAGGAAGACAGAATGACTGAAAAACCATTCTTGCTGGACACAATGAAAGTTGAATCCAAAACATGGTTATACGACCTGTTTATGAATCACCAATGGATAACTGACAAGGTACGCGTATAAATGGTCATATAGTTGTCAGTTTGACTACAAAGTGTAATTTTAAATGCATATATGGTGCTATAGAATGCCATTATTAGTCAGTTTACTTTTAGTTGCTAAATATGTATTTTATTTCTTGCAGCATGTTGAGGTAGTAATGTACTATTTCAACATGAAAAGGGTGCATTACCAAATGCCTCAGAAGTTTACCACAACTGGACCATTTTTCTTGCAAATAGTCAAGCGTGAACTTGATACAATATCAAAGGGTCACTACACATACCACAAGTCAGCAGAAGAAGAAAACATTGTGCGTGAAATAATAGGTTCTAACAACTTTAGCCTGCACTGGAGCAAGGCAGACTTTGTGTACCTTCCTCTGAATACTGGACATCATTGGGTCTTGTTAGTGCTTGATATCAAGCAGAGAAAAGTAAGGGTGTACAACTCCAATGCCAGAAAAGGTGATTCACTGAGGGATATCAGATCCTATATTCCAAGCATAACAGTGCTCCTACCCAAACTAATGGATTATCATCAAGTGTACGCATTGATGGGTGAAGAGCCTATGGGCGAAAGGTTTTTGGAAGTCGAGCCTGTAGAAGAATGTCCACAGCAAGATGATGGGTAAGAGGATATAAATTTACTTAAACAGATTGTGTAATAGTGTACTACTTTATTATTTTAAGAAAGTGCTTTTATTTTGGTTGTTATGAATCAGGGGAAACTGTGGAATGTACATGTTGAAGATTGCAGAATTTCTAATGATAGGGATGGACATGGATGCCATATATCCTGAAGCAATACCATTCTTTAGGCAAAAAATGGCAACTGAGTTGATACTATATAGCGAGAGAAGGCAGTGTCAGAAAGAATGAAGTGATGCTTTAGAGACAATGATGCTTTTGTTGGAAGACTATTTCATATGTACTAGTACTTTTAATATCATGGCATGACATCAAGTACATTTGTTTGGGAACTTATGCTTATCCTTTCTTATTATTTTCGAACAGCATGTTTGACTTTTTTAAAACAATCAGTTGCATTGTGTTTTGAATATATGACATTTGGTTTAGACATTATGACATGGCATTGTGAGATTGCATTTTATTGAATTTTGGGTCAAATAGTGATCGTTTATCTACAACATATTTGACATTCGGATGACAGTTGTTAAAAGTTTAAATGACATCTACTGTGAAAATGTCATTATTCAATAAACAAAAAATGACATAACAATATTGACATTAAGTGACATTTAACATGACATTCATTTGAATAAAAAATGTCAGCAAATTATGTTGTTTGACTTCTTTTTTGACAGTTGTTCTTTGACTTCTTAAAGACAATGAGAATGCATTTTATTGAATTATGCATATTATTCATACTTGTATTCATCTATGCATGGATTGTTAGTGGGGTCAGATTTGAGTACCTACAACATGCAAATGACATAAAAATGACACTTAGTTGACATTTGTTAGGATGTCAAATGACAAATGGCTAAAAATATTACACTAAATTGTTTACTAAAACTTTTAATAGGTATAAAGAACGATGACATGTCGAAATGAAATGGAACAACTTAACATGTAAATGACATGTTAACAATTCATTTTTTGAAACTTAAATGCCATCAAATCTGACATATGTTAATTAACAATAAACAAAATGCCAAACCATAAGTCAACTGACATCAACTGTGAAATATGACATTGAAATGTATTCATAACAAACTGGCATCAAGTGTGAACCACAACTGCCATCAAATATGAAATATGTCAGTTAAGTTTAAACAAAATGCCAAAAGACAACTCATAAACACTAAATGTCAGAACATTTAAACAAATGACAACTACTTCCAAACCACATAGTAAAATTCCTAAAAGTATATGATGCAATCAATTAGCCATGACATCAATGGGTATTGATTGGAATGGGATTCCTACAAGTTTTCTTATTATGCCCAAGCACATGACATCTAGAACATCTTTGCCTTTTTGAACCTCTATATTCTCTAATGGATGGAATCCTAGATTTCTTCGGGCGACCAGGAGGACGTTTCATACAAGTTGGTGGCTTGCATCGTTGGTTTTGAATAGAAGCAGGAACGGACCACCTGTCACGATCAGCAATTGGATGCATAATACCAGACCATGTAGCAAGCCAAGCATCTCTAGTGTAATAAGGTGAAATATAAGTATAACATGACAGATGTGGGCGTATAGCAATTTCAGCAACAGCATGAGCACAAACAAAGTGATCTAGTTGAAAGTGGCCGCAAGTACAACTTCTAGTATTGAGGTTGACCACAAAAGAAGTGCATCTTCTATCAACAACTTCAAATTCATAGGCACATGATGGTTTTACCTAGGAAATAGACAAAATATGAATATCAAAGTAGAAGAAAAACAAATTATCAAACCAATATACTAATAGAAGGACACAAACTGACAGATTCTAAAGCCAAATGACATATTGATAACCAAAGTGGAATTATATAAGGAGAAATAAATATGTGAACTGACTTATGGTTAAAGAATAAACTTTGACATACCTTCATACGTGTAGCTTCAGCTTGCAAAGCTACAATACGTTTCTCACACTTCCGTGTGAGTATAGTACTTGTTTTCTCAGCCTTTTCTTTCCTCTCAGTGAACCATTGTTGCATCCTTTCACGCAAGAAATCAACAACTTTAGACACAGAATACTCTCTTGCACATACATTGACTTTGTTCATAGATTCAGCACAATTGGATGTCATAATATTATATCTCTTTGGTCCAGACATTACTTTTGCCCATGTGTTAACACCTAGTTTCTCTAGCCAAGTCCTTATCCTGGGGTCTTCAGAATCCAACATGGATAAGTAGTCATGATATTCTTTAACAGTTGCTGCCATATAGGCAGCTTTGAACTTCCATCCCAAACCAGCTGTAGATCCTCTGAATTTTGGTGTCATGTTACGACGCAGATGAGCAACACAAAAACCGTGGCTAGCATGTGGCAAGAGTTCAGAAACAGCCTTTATAAGCCCTTTATGCCTATCAGATACTACATAAAGGTCATGTCTGTACTTTATTGTCTGAGAGACTTTGGATAAAAACCATTTCCAAGAAGCTTTTGTTTCAGAATCACAAATACCAAATGCAATAGGAACTATGTGATCATTGGCATCTTGGCAACAAGCTGTAAGAAGAGTGCCTTTATAGTAACCTTTGAGGAAAGAACCATCCAATATAAGAACAGGTCTGCAGTAGGGCCAAGCATCTATCCATGCACTGAATGACATAAAAAAGGTACAAAATGCATCATCCTGCCCTGTGACTAGATCAAAAATAGAGCCAGGATTCGCTTTCTTAAGCACATAAGCCATAGAAGGCAAAACCTGATTCAAGATCATAACAAAATTGAGAGATGTAAATGCCTAAAAATATAACGAACAATGCATGTAAATGAAATGTTAAAATCGAATGGAACAAGTGTGTACCATAACTGCCATCAAATCTCATATATGTCAGTTAAAAGTAAACAAAATGCCAAAACACAACTCATAAACACTAAATGGCAAAAAAATGCATTTAAGATCAGAAGGCAAAACCTGATAGGAATCAAGATCAGAACCAAATTGGAGCTGCATTGCTTTCTTCTGTGCTTTCCAAGATTTTTTGTATGACATGGAAATTCCATACTCCACACTCATGTCTTCACGAATTTGCTTTGGTGGGTATGGTTTACTGGAAGCATCAAGGTATTTGTGTGCAATAAGTTGTGCTATCACATTAGCAGTTGCCTGTCTATGTTTGCCTTGTTTATAATCAATAGAGCATGTGTGTTCTGGACGGAATCTAAAAGGACAAAAAAGTGGCATTACTATACAACTGACTAATATATATTTGGCATTCTTGTGTAAGAATGTCATCAATACATGACATTCTGATAAACAAGAATTTACAATGAAGTCAAACAAAGAAGGAAAATAGAATTACCTTCTGATTTGAAACATTTCTACACCATGTAGTCTTACAGCTCGAACAGTCCAACGACATTCAGGATCTAAGCAAATAACATGTAAAGATATTTTCCTAGAGGTCTTAGTTCTGTATTGAAAGTGGTTTGTGATAGCATAGAGCTTCAGATGGTGGATAAGGTCTTTTTTACTTCTGTAAATAGCATAGAGAACAAGAGAAGTAGGATGGGAGTGTGTGATGACTTCAAAATTGTGGAGAAATGAGAGTGATTGACATGATTCTATTACTAAGCCATCTGTCATGTCATCTGTGTCTTCATCACTGTCTTTAGACGTTTCAATTTCTACAGCTCTAGACACAGTGTTACTAGAAAAAGCAACATCTTGAGAGTGTGTACCAGAGAGGTTAACATTTTCAGTGCAAAAAGATGGGCTATCATCAAAAGAGAGTGCAGGTGAGGAGGCATGTTGTTGGGAAGAATCAACAACATTCTCATCAACAGAAAGTGAATGAGTTGAAAGATTAACAACAGAAGTTGGAGGTGAGGAGAAGGGTATAGTATAAGTGGTAAGTTGTTGTGGAGAAATAACAACATTTTTAGTTGGAGGAAAAATGGAACGTTCAACATCAACAGAAAATGCAGAGGAAGAAGAGACAGGATAAAACTCAACACAAAGAGGATACTTTAAAAAATCTGGTTGAAGAGACTTGATATAAAGATAAAATGTTAAGCTAGATTGATCATTTATAGTAACAGGAGGAGGGAATCCATCTCGCATATAAGAAAGCCTGAAATTATGATTTGGTTTGTACTGAAAAAACATGCCAGTCAACATATCAACAAAAGAAGTATATTGAACACCATAGTTAACATGAAGACCACATGTGTGGACATTGATGAACACATAGTCAGAATCCCAAAAACCATCCACCTTGACCATAACAAATAAAACAGGATCCATTGTGGAAAAAGGTTCCTAAAAAGTGAAGGAAAACAAATATTTCAGCATAACATGACACACACATGACAGTTTATAAGCATGAAACAACGCAGAGTTATACAACATGACAGTTTATAAGGATATATAATTATTATGTACCAAACAAAATGGCACAACATGACAGTTCCGAATACAAAAAGACATGTTTTACGAAATAACAACATACAATGAATAACGAATTGACATATTGTAGAAGAATTATACTACATAGCTACATGTGTATAACTGACGAATTGACATATTGTAAAAGGTATGAAATTGCAACATACATTTAACAATGATTGAAGAAAAAAGACGATAAACGATGACAAGTTTCAGCAAACATACTCTGCAAACGAACGAAGATGAATGAAAAGCAGGACAAAACGACGAAGAGCAGAACGATGAACAGCAGAAGAAGATGAATGAAAAGCAGAACGGCGAACAGCTTAACCGCCTCAACGAACTCCAACTTCAAACAATGGCGGAAAAAGAAGAATGCAGGAGAAAACGACGAATGAGCAAATAAATTGAATCATGTCCCAACTGATTTAGGAAACTAATTCTTATGCAGAATCTTAATCAAAAACGGAAAAGGAAACTAATAAATGCTTTCACACGCAATAACCGAAAATAGCCGGTAAACCCCCCAACCGAATAGCAAAAATAGAAACAGGGGTAATATAGACATTAGCTAAACTGCGAAACGTCTGCATAGGACCGTATAACTCCTATTAGGGGAATTAAACATGCTAAGTCCTATTATGGCTTTTTAAGTATGTTTTAGTCTTATTATGGGCAATTTCTTATCTATTTAATACGGAGTGTATTTTTTTATATTGCATGCGATAGAAACATACTCCGTATTTTTTAATGAATAAATTTTAGAAAAAATAGTACAAGAAAAATGTTGTTACACTTAAGACACAAATTTAAAAATTAATATATGAATTTGTCAATTGACTTGAAACTAAATTGATCGACTATTAAATAGTGTCTCTTATTAAAAATTTACCTAATATGAAATAATATTCTATATGGAGACACTAATACACATTGAGTTATCTAGCAATTTTGACTAAATAAATATTTAAGAAATAATCGAATTTGCTCTCTTTGTGTAATATAGTGAGGAACAAACAACCATAATTTTAGAGAGTGAAATAAGTATTACGTAATACGGAGTACTTTCTATTTGTAGGATTGTTGTGCATTGATTTTTATAAATGAGCTACACACCCCTGCACTGTCAAACACATTTTCTTCAAGTATTTCTTCTTTTTCTTGTAGTTGGTGTGATAAATTACTTTCATTCACACCACATACTTATAATATTAATAGCTACTGAGTATTTTTTAAAATTTGGTGCCCCAGCTAGAGATGTGGCCCTAGGCATATGCCTATGTGCCTTGCCCCATAGCCGGCTTTGCATGCATACTCCATGTTTGGAGCACTTTGTTAATAAATACCATAGTATAAGGCTGCAGAAATAGCACAACTGGTTACGTTGTTAAATAAGAATAACTCTTCATGTGCAATGCAACTTTTACGTAAAATAATACTACCTCCGTCACATTTTATGTGTCTTAGTTTGACTTGACACGGTTATTAATGAAGTAGTTGAAAAGGTAAAAGTTGTGATTGAGGTTTGAGTATAATAAAGTGAAATGATATATACCACATATTTCTTCCAAAAAAGGAAAGAAGATATTTATTTTGGAACAACCCATAAAGAAAAGTAGGACAATTAAAATGGGACGGAGGAAGTAACCTATCATTTAAGGGGAAATTCCCGAAATAAGACTAAACCAGTTTGGAAACTCCAAAATAGGACTCTCATGTTTTTTATTCCCAAAATAGGAGTAATTACTGCCAAGTTTAGAAAAAAATGTCATGTTTGAAGTCTGGTACTGCCAAAACATTATGGTAATTAGTCCTATTTTAGGAATAAAAACATGGAAGTCCTATTTTGGAATTTCCAAACCTTTTTAGTCCTATTTTGGGTAATATCTCATCATTTAAACCCATGAAAGAAAAAGAATTAGAGTCGTGCATCCAATCTTGGCATTGTTTGCTGGCAATTTTAAGAGAGATTTGTCCAAAAAGCACTTAGCTTAGACTAGAAGCACCATAGGAAATTAATTAGAAATATATACTACCGTATCTTTCCTACCAGCACTTACATGGATGCATCAAGATGAGAAGATTTAATACGTAGTATTATAGTAGAATAACAGTTTTCCAAAAGGGTGAACAAACAGGTGTGTCATAGAACAAATATACCCCTAACGTTTTTAGCACAAATGCATACTGTATATAAAAAAAAACTAAGGTTGGAACAAATATGTATGTTGTTATGTTCAAAGGTATATAAGTTCTATCTTTAATTTAAATTTTTATGTGTGTTTAATGTTAGATATTATAATATTTTCATATTTATTTCGATCACTTAATATTCATTGTTTCATATCACTAGAAACACTCTAACATGAGTACAGCATGATGGATGGCCCATAAGCACCTTCATCTCCCCTTCCTATCACATATTCGTACCTACCATGTAATATATAAGTGCATGCCATGCGCATGGAATAAATTATCATACTATGTAGCTTGAAATATAGCATTCTTTCTTTTATCAGAAAAGTGTTTCAATTTTACTATTTTGATTTTATCATGGTATCAAAGCCGAAACCCTGGAAAATAAGATTCTAGTTTTTCCTTCTTTTTTTTACTATGGCAAAGAATGATGTCGTCATTAAGACCGACTATGAAGCTATGAGCATTCTCTCTTCTGATCCTCAAGTAAATATGGCATACACATTGCCACGAGCTCGTCCTTGGATAATTGATTCTGGAGCGTCTGAACATATTACTTGTAGCGATATTAATCTTTTTAATATCGTCAGTCATATGTCAGAATCATCAGTTAAAATTCCTAACGGTGAATCGATTCCGGTGCAAGCTATTGGAAGTTTGTACTTACCCAATGGGCTTCTTCTTGAACGTGTTCTATACATTCCAAAATTTCAATGCAACTTGCTTTCAGTTAGTCGCTTAACAAGCGATCTAAATTGTACTTTGACATTTTTTTCAGACTTCTGTATTTTGCAGGAATTAACCTCGAGGAAACTGATTGGCATGGGTAAATTCCGTGATGGTCTCTATTACTTGGAATCTCCAAAATGTGAAAGGGTGGCAATGTCAGTCTCTATTACTCCCGATCTTTGGCACCAACGTTTGGGGCATGCATCTGATGGAAAGTTACAACACATTAGCTCTCTCAAGGGGTTTCAGCGAAGCAACAATTTTTGTGATCCATGCATTCGGGCTAAGCAGACTAGATTATCCTTTCCTACGAGTGCAATTAAAACAACTCGTTGCTTTGAGTTAATACATTGTGACATTTGGGGAGGCTACAGATGTGATTCAATTTCTGGTGCACGGTACTTTCTAACAATTGTTGATGATTTTACTAGAGGTGTGTGGGTTTATTTAATGAAAAATAAATCTGAGGTTTCCCAACTTTTAATTCAATTCTGCAACATGATTGATACTCAATTTGAACAAAAAGTCAGACGTATACGGGCTGATAATGGTATGGAATTTCAAACCAACAATTTACTCAATCATTATAGACGTGCTGGGATTTTATTAGAGACATCATGCACTGACACACCCCAACAAAATGGAGTTGTAGAACGTAAGCACAGACACATCTTGGAAATTGCTAGGGCACTCCGTTTTCAGTCAGGGTTACCTATTTATTTTTGGGGAGAATGCATTTTGACTGCTGCTTACATTATTAATAGACTTCCCTCGCCCGTCATTCATAACAAGAGTCCTTATGAAATGCTGTTTGGAAAAGTTCCTAGCTATGATCATTTGCGAGTATTTGGGTGTTTAGTATACGCACATGACAATAAAAGAAAGGATAAATTCAGCGAGAGGGGGAGTCCTTGTATTTTTATTGGCTATCCATATGGAAAAAAGGCTTATAAAGTCTTTGATTTACAAAAACATTCCGTATATGCATCTCGTGATGTTACATTTTTTGAAGGAAACTTTCCTTTTAAAAATGTGAACGACGAAGAAATGGACTTCGGAAATATGGTTGATCAAGTGTATCAACAAATCTTGAATCAGAACTCCACACAAATCCAACATGAAACCTCATATTATTACCCCCACTATAATATTGTGCTGCCAATTTTTATTCAAGAAAAGGATGGGACTGCAGGGCCATCTACTGGCCTAGGTAGCATGAACGAACAAGAAAGGGGAGCACCAACCGACCCCACTGAAGAGTTGCTTTGTAGTGCTGACCACAGCAGCAGTTTGGACGGATACTCCCTTATCCAACAACCTGTGCAGCGACCGATGGGAGAGGCAACGATCAACTTGCATGGGACCGAACATGTGCACCAACCGGCAACTACGGAAGGTTCCATCGGACATCAACCTCTTGGTGAGGGAGTCAGCTCTTCTTGTCAGAATTCACATGGGAGCGACAACGCTGATTTACATGCACGCCAAGCAGAGCCAAAAAGAAGAGGGGAAATTCGCTATGTACACACCAATGTACACAACACTCTACACAACACAAAAAGCCCCCACCCCCTTCTTTTCCACCTTATTAACCTCTCCCCCTCTTCCTTTCTTTTCCTTTTTTCCCCTCCTTCCTTGCGCCCAACTTCCTTCTCCCTCTTCCTCTTTTCTTTTTCTTTTCTCTCCCTCCCTGCACCCAACATTCTCCACCCTCTTTTCTTCTCCCTCGTTATCTTCATTTCTTTCCTCTTCCTCTTTCCCTCTTTTCTTTTTCTTTCCTCTCTTTATCTGCCTTTCTCCATCTTTTTTCTCCTCCATCTTTTTTCTTCTCTTTTCTTGTTTTCTTCATTTTAAAAGCTCACTTTTTTTGCAGATCTAAATTCGCTCAGAAAAATAGGAGAAGTCACAACTTGAATCTACTTTGCTCTCTCAAATATTATTCATGAGGTAATACTTTATTTCATATTTTTTGTGCATTTAGGGTACATATGTCCCCTTTTTAATTTTGTATATCACATATGTTGTTATGATGTTGAATACTAGTACTTATTACACTGTTATACTAAATAGATTTGTGATGTTTATCATTTAAATTTTTGTCTGTATCGCAGATAAAATATAAAGATTTGTCTGTTAAATCGATTTTCACAGACAAAATATAAAGATTTGTCTGTATCGCAGACATTTTAGATTGTAATTTTTCATAAAGTGTCTGTGATACAGACAATTTTTTTTTTGTCTGTGTGAAAATTGATTTTCTTCATAAATCGCCACTCAATTTGCCTGTGTAGCTGGTCAAATTGTCTGTGTGCAGACAATTATGTGAGTGCATCTTGTAAAGTACCAATAACTTGTGTATGTCTTCTCTATGACTTCTTTATTATAAAGTGTTTGTGATACAAACATTTTTTTTATTTTTGTCTGTGTGAAAATTGATTTTCTTCATAAATCGTCACTCAATTTGTCTGTGTAGCCGGTCAAATTGTCTGTGTATAGACAATTATGTGAGTGCATCTTGTAAAGTACCAATACTTTGTGTATGTCTTCTCTATGACTTCTTTATTAATCGCCACTCAATTTGTCTGTGTAGCCGGTCAAATTGTCTGTGTACAGACAATTATGTGAGTGCATCTTGTAAAGTACCAATAGCTTATGAAGAAAATCAATTTTCACACAGACAAAAATAAAAAAAATGTTTGTATCACAGACACTTTATAATAAAGAAGTCATAGAGAAGACATACACAAGCTATTGGTACTT